TCAAAGGGAAAAGCTCTACTGAATTTGTGTTAGGCTGTTATTAACACACTGCTACCTGTTGAGAAACCACATCCAGTTCAAGCCCCTTATTTACAAATGAAAAAACTGAGGCTTGGGGTGAAGAGGAAGAGATTTGCCTGTGTCATACAAAAGGGAACAGCTGGCCTGGAAGCTCGCTCAGTTTGTATATGCCGTGTAGCTTGTTCTGTGTCTCCTCTTGGGGTGAGCACAGATGAAGAGATTGGCACGTATTTTGACCTTTAATGCTGTGCTGTACTTTCTAATATTGTCTAATAGATTTATTACAATAATGTTTACCAGTATTTATAGTGCTTCTCTCAAGAACATTTACTTATTTATTACTATATTCCTTGCCCTGCCCCCATAAGTAAAATCCTGTATTCCAACCTGGAAACCTGAAGCGTGGTAGAATTGGGCAGCTTGCTTATATCTGTCTGTAATAGAGCTGACCCTAAAACTCTTGCATTTTCATCTCTGGCCTGGGGGTGCTATTAATCAGACTGAACTTGTGAGGATTTCAGTTATTCATATCTTAGGGACCTATGTAATTCAAGATGTTAAAATAAGGAACATATTTGTCCTATATAAGCCATAGTTTATAATATTAGATACATAAGTAATAAAATAATATTTTGATTTCCCATTTGCTTTGTACCTTTTTAAAAATTAACTTTTTATTTTGAGATAACTGTAGATTCCCAGGCAGTTATAAGAAATCATAACAGTGAGGTCCCCTGTTCCCTTTGCCTAGCTTCCCCAGTGTTAATATGTTGCAGAACTATGGTATGCTGTCACATTGATATAGTCTACCACTCTTATTCAGATTTCCCCAGTTTTATTTTTATTCTCTTGTGTATTTTAATTTTCTATAATTTTATCATGTGTGTAGGTTTTTAATTTATTTTTATTTTATTTATTTTTTAAATATGTTTTTATTGATTTCAAAGAGAGCAAAGGAGAGGGAGAGAAAGATAGAAACATGAATGATGAGAGAGAGTAATTGATCAGCTGCTTCCTGCACGCCCCCCACTGTGGATCGAGCCTGAAACCTGGGCCTGTGCTCTGACCTTGAATCGCACGGAGATCTCCTGTTTCATAGGTCGACGTACAACCACTGAGCCACACCGGTCAGGCGTTTTTTTATTTAAAAAGTTTCTCAGTTGGCTGAGAATTTGAGGTGGGAGGAGGGGAATTATTACTGAGTTCCTCTTAAACTCTCCCAGTAAACAACTCAAGTATAATTTCTTTTTTTTTTTTTTTTTTACATAACAGCTATTTAACTTTTGGGCAAGTTTCCTAACTTACAAATCTTGGTTTACTCATCTATAAAACAGAATTCACAGTAGCTACTTAATGCAGAGGACAAAAATAAGAAAATATGTATAATGGGTACTTAGGAAAAGGAACTCAATAAATGATCATCTCATTTTTGTTAAGTGATATTTTAAAAACAGATTACAAATGAGAGTATTTGGTGTTTTTAAAGCTTTTCACAAAAGTGTGGGAGCTCAGGATTGTAGAATTGGAAGGTCCCTTAGTAGTTTAGAACCAGTGAAGGACCCTTTTAAACACTCTTATTCTTTAAACTAAAATCTGCTTCCCCGTAACTTCTAGGTCTGCCCTCATTGTGTGATAGGCCTTCTAAGATATGAGACTGCGACAACGGTTGTGTCCCCCCTAAGTTATCTTGTCCAAACTGACTCTCCTTTAGCTATTACTCAAGATGAATAGCTTTCCCTTTCCCATCTTGGTCTCCTTCTTCTAGATAAAGACAAATTTGTTGTTCCCCTTAACTGAACACAGCATTCAGATGTAATCTGGCCAGCATATCCCAAATTAGGCCTGTCTTCTTTTTAGCTGAGCTTTTTTTGAAATCAGCTCACCCAGTTCATACAGCACATACAGCTTGTTCTTTTGTATTTTTCCCCACTTTCTAGATGAAAAATGAATGCATAGCAGCTGAACACAGCAAATTAAACACACATTTTAACATCCATTCCCTCCCGTAATCCCATTAGAGTGATAGTAAGGGGAGAAAGGTATCAGCAAATGAGTGTCAATGGAATGTTGAAGGCAAAAAAGCTTGTGTGATGTAGTGGGCCGAGGAACCGAAAGTGCCTGCGGGGGGGAGAAGCTAAGAAGAAAGAGGGTTTGTAATGCGGACCCTGGAACAGTTCCAGAGCTGAAGAAACCAAATACTGAAAACAGGAAGATTAGTTGAAAGTCTGTGTGAAAAGCAATTAGATGTCTTCAGTCCCTCCCCCCCACTCAGGAGACGGGTTTTAGCCTTAGATATTGAAACAGGTACACGAAGTGTGGAAGGGATGGAGTATGGAGCAAAACGGAAAGTAAAGCCTTTAAGACAAGGATCTAAACTGAATGGTAGGGCCCAGCCGGGTGTGGCTCAGTGGTTAAGCATCGACCTAGAATCCAGATGATCAGGGTTCGATTCCCGGTCAGGGCACATGCCCGGGTTGCGGGCTGCAGCCGATCAGTGACTCTCTCATCATTGATGTTTCTAGCTCTCTCTCTCCCTCTCCTTTCCTCTCTCTGAAATCAATAAAGATATATTTTAAAAAAAATAAATTAAAAATAAAAAGAACAAACTGAATGGTAGGGCCATTTTGCTCTCACTCGGTTTCCAGAATATCTGCCTGCAGTCACTCCCGTACCAGAGACTGGACCATCCTCTGATAAAAATTAGCCCCAGGGAGAGCATTCTAAAGGTACGACTACTTCTAGAAGTCCTCAGTAAAAATGGCAGATTCTTGCCTGACTACTCGTATGTGAAGTCCCCAAGTTGACCAGCTTAGACAGCCACCCCGCCCCGTTTTCAGACAGCTTCTAAAAGTGTGAGCAGATAACTAAATATCACAAGACATTTAAAGAGAAACTTTAACATAAAAGACAGAGATCAGAACAGGTCAAGCAGGGATCATTGGGGCTATTTGGGACCGACTACCATGAGTAATAACTAAAAGTAAAAATTCAAGAAGTACTATTATAGGTGGATTACTTAGGAAGGTATAAACAGCAGAAGAAAGAGGCTGCCCCGGGAGCAAGAAACAGGGAGCTAAGCTGATGGCTTTCAATATAAGCCGTGTGGAACAACTTTAAGAAACAGTTGTATGTATTACTGTGATTTGATTTTTTATTGGGAAAAAAACCCCAAAGCAGACAGTCATTTAATGTCCCCAACACCAGTAGTAGAGGAGCAACATGGATTATATGAGGTACCCATAGAATCTGATAAGGATCCTTTGTTGTTTGGGAGGTTGTGTGTGTGATCTTAAAGGATAGTTCACAGATAATATGCCTAAAGGTCAGTGAAAAAGAGAACATAGTGGCAGAACCTGAGCTAGAATCCTCAAGTAAAGGAGCCGCAGAGAGGAGGCCAGCGTCAGGTAGCGCAATGCTCAGGCGTCTCGCTTCTATGAAACTTGGTGAAGGGCGGGGGGACGTGTTCTCTCTGAAGAGTGGAGATGTTTATGCAGCTTGGAGCTGTAAATGCAAAGCCCATAAAGGGAATATCCTCTTGGCAGATACTTGGAAATCACTTTGTAGAACTCCCTAGGCTAATGATGTGTCATGTGTCGGTAAGGCTTTCACACCGACTAGAGTTTGCCTCTTGCTGTGAGAGCTGTGGGCCCGAGCCCTGTGGACCACACAGAGCATCAGCCAGGCCACAGCACCAGCCTCCAGCTGGCTGCTGCCAGAGTCATTTTCCTAAGAGAAACTCTGGGCTCCTTGTGGTCTGCCACAGCCTGCTTGGTACCCAAGGACCCTCCAACTTTTGTGCCCACCATGCCTGCTCTGTCCTTGATTCCCCACATGCGCCCCCTATTCAAGGTTGGTCGTGTTTCTCATCTTTCCTGTCACTATGTATTGTCTCTTCTTGAGGAACCTACTGTTAGGGGCTTCAAGGTTCTTGGCCAGTTTGTCTATTTCATCTGCCTTCTAATAAAACTGGATCAGGATTAAGTGTTAGAGAAATGAGATCTTGGAGTTGGTGGGGGAGTCGGGGGAATCAAGGA